ACCCAAAGTAGTATGTTCCTTCATTTAAGGAAAAATATGTAAAATATTTAAAATTAAGCTAACTTCTGAGATTCATAATCTTATATAGTATATTAGTATATTTCATTATTATTATAATAATAATAATAGCAGCAGAATTAGTATATCTAGCTGATTATGAAAGCTTTAATAGATTAAATGATCCAGCAAGATCCAGTTTGCTGATTACTGGTTCTGTTGATACTGTAAATTCTATGAATTCCTAATGCTTTCACTAAACTGCAGGCTATATCTACTCACAGTATAATCTTCATATGAAAGGGACACTTCTACATTAATTGAAAATGTAAAAGAAATACATATATTCCAAAGAAAAAGTGAAGACCTTCAATAAAATTAAGTTATGCTGAGAGAGAGCTAAAATACACATTGAATTTTTCCACTGATTCACACACAACCTTGGGCTGCATGTTTCTAGTATATACAGTGGATTTATTTGTGTATGTGTGTATGTTTCTGTGATCTTTGTTTCAAAATTGTTCGGAATTTGTGGGCTGAAGAGCAAGCAAAATGTTGTTTATAGATAGAGGAAGTTGAGTTTATGAATAATGTGGTGTGATATGTATATTTTACATCTCTCCCTCTCTCTCCAAAATAATGTGGTATCAGTGAGTGTGTCTATACATGAAATAAATTTGAAGCAATAAACTTCAGAGCAATTTGAGCCAGAGTAAACTACTTCCGAGTGCAACATTTACACATGAGCCTGGGATAACAGCAATTTGAGCTGAGGTGGAGCAGTTTACTCCAGGGCTGCTCCTGCCCTACTTTGCCTTAGGCTCCAGATTGCGGTGTCAGGTGGCAGGGATGCTGGCTGAGGCATGAGGATGCTAAAAGTGTGAAGCAGTGTGGCTAGGTGGCTAGCAGGATTCTGGTCCTCTGCTTCCTCAGGCACAATTTACACCTGCAATCAACATCTATATGTGCGTTTAATCACATATAATTAATCTCTCAAGGACAGTACTTTCTTATGGTGATGTTAATTAATTTACTGTGGCCTAATACCATCACACGTGTAGATGGTGATGTTTTTGAGTAAATTTGAAAACAATAACCTTGAAATTAAACATGATTGCAGCATTTTATGTATAGTACCTGGGCATTAGTTCAGCTGGAATTGATGCATGCTACCTTTTTTGAAATTGCTGCAAGTTTTAGCACAGGTACTCCATAAACACACTTTTAAGCAGCACTTTGGCACCTACTATGTAGTTCAAACTATGCATGATACTAGTCTAAAGCCAGAGACTTGTGATTTACAACATAGTTCATTGGGCTGGGCCCCAGAAGGGTCAACAGTGTTTCAAGCCACAGTTACCCCATAGCTCAGTAATGTGTGTGTATTCTAGATTCCCCCTCTCCTCCAACAAAGGATCCATATGCTAATTAGCCCCCATGCATGACTGGAACTGAATGGTCTTTTCAAGAGTACTGGGATGCTCCTAAAATGTATATGCTGATGATGAGGCACAGGGCAACCTGGTCTGGCTTCATCTTATGGAGGGCTGGACCACACTAATCATATGCACCAGACTAAGAGAGGGGGTGACAGAGGGATTCTGGGTGAGCTGTTTGGGGCCCTGTTTTGTGATGTTTGTCAGACATTTAAGGTCAGTGAAGTAACAGGAATGATTGGAAATGCGAAAGAAAGGCACAGCTCAGCTTTGGGGGTAAAGAGGAAGTAAAAATGTATGTAGTATAGTGGGCTCGCCATGACTTTACTCAGCTGTGAGGGGGATTGTGCTTAATGGGCAGTACCATATATCTTATTCAGGTGGGCTACCTTAACTTACCCTTGTGGTAGGTTCCCATCAAAATGTTTGCCCCATATGTGCCACATGTTTTATAGTGTACTATTATACTCAGTATTGGCTATATTTAATCAGCTTCATAGTTGGTTTCCATTGCTGAGTATATACTGCTTTTGACAGCTGCTTAATGATTGATTCATAGATTGTAAGGGACTGGAAGGGACCTTGCTCTCCTACCCTGGGGGTCTTCAAGAGGAGGTTAGATGAGTATGTAGCTGGGGTCATCTAGACCCAGCCCTCTTTCCTGCTTATGCAGGGGGTCGGACTCGATGATCTATTGAGGTCCCTTCCGACCCTAACATCTATGAATCTATGAAAGACAACTCAGGTAAGGTGACCCCAGCAAGGTGACTGTCCAGTCTCTTCTTGAAGAAGACAATGTATTTAGTGAGATTTCCTTGTATGAGATTATAAGACCTTTGGCTTTTTTCCCCGTTCCAATGAGGGTGAGGGGGAACCTCATTTTGTATTTGAGTAAATATGGTAACTATCTGTTTTTTATAGCATAGTGGTCACAATAGCTATGAACTCCTTTGCTCTGTGGCTATTATAAAAATACAACTTATTAAATAAATATTTACTTATTATTTCATTGAGGATATCATTCAGCTGTTTCTGTAATAATGACATTGTTTCTGTTGAAGCAATATGTAATTGGAAAACAAAACAGAGTAAGAACAAACCCAATAAGCAAAGACAGATAAACGTATAGCATAAACAAAATATATGAAGGACTTGGGTGATACAAAGTTTTATTGCCACTTGTTTTGGATGACATGCACAGGTTGTAGTTGTGCCAGTCATAGATAATGCAGTCATCCCAAAACTGGTGTAGTATAATCTCTATAGCACCAAACACCATCACATATTTCTACAGTACTTCTGATAAAAATACATTTCCCATAGACATTTGTGCATGTTGCATAATACATGTATAGCTTCCTATTACAAAAAGTATAATAAAATAGTGAAAATATGTGTGTCTGACAGCATAGGTCACTATATCTGAACTACCAGAAGGTACAGAAAAACATTAATCAAAGAACTGAAAGCAATGATACATATAGTCAACGTACACAGTTTAATTCCATTACAGTAGTCCATTAATAAAAATAGAAAGAATCAAAACTTTAAAAAAATTTTACAGATTCTAAAAGGATGCAGAAGTTCAATCTTGTCTCATTCTGTTGCTGATTAACAGAGAAAACCTTCAAACAAAATATTAGGCCTAAGAAATAGGCAGAGCAGGCTAATCATACACTATTGAAGTTTGTGGGAGTTTTGCTATTGTTTTTCTTGCAGTGGGAACAAAGCTGTCTTGCAGAACCAAATAAATATCTCATAATAAAAATAAATAATTAAAAAATGATTGTTATATTGGTCACAAACATAATTTAGATAGGGTATGTTACTAAGGTGCAGAGTATAATTTGTAACAATATTCAGTTTCACTCAGACTGCAAACAGACATTGCATTTACCCTGGGATAAACCGTGTTATCCCAGGACAAAGTACAGTGGTACAGATGCCTGCGTCCATTGTCCTGGGATAAATCCTAAAAAGTTTCCCAGATAAAGGTAGTATTATTTTATTGCGAGATATTGTAAAATATGTCTGTACAGTTGTCCTGGGATTCCATCATTGAACCAATGGCAAAAAAATGGCATTCGTTCAGCCACTGATTAGAAGGGTGATGTATGTACGTGCCTATCCTGGGATATTTTTGTTCCAGGACAAACAGCATAGCATATTCAGGGACAAATGCAACATCTGTTCCTAACCTCAGTTATTCTTTTACAGGGGTATGTGCATGCATGCACACACAGACGCGCACACACACAAGGGGAGGTCCAGTCTGACTCTTTCCATTTTAACAATTCATCAATTTTAAAAATATTTCTATCAGATAATCTATGTTTAATTTTATTATTTATGTTTTTAAAATTTCACTCCTTTAAAATTATTTTAGCTTCACATAATCTTGAATATACTGTCATTGCCAAATTCGAAGGCAAGCCACTTATTTAACCTCAACAAAACCTTTATCATAATAATAAATTTTACATTTCTATAGTGACTTTCATTTTGAGGATTCCAAAATACTTCATAAACTATATATTGTAGGCATTGCTTAAACCATACTTGAAATGCAGCCATATCCAGTGTCAGTTTTGTAACAAGCTACAGAAATTGTACAATGTGGTGAAACCAAGGAAATATGAACACATACAACAACCAATGGAAAAAAATAGTATAGTTTTGATGCAGTAGATAGAATGGAAGGAAGGAGGAAAAATGACCAGTTCACACAACAGGTACTACAGAACTCTGAGCTTAAAGGTTTTTTTATTTTTCATTCAGCTCTTACCTAGTTCCAGCTATGAACTCTGCTTTCAACAACTAATTATATCATAGCTTGGGTTAGCAAGTCTGTTGACAAACCAAAAGGCAAAGATCTAAACAGAAGTCAAAGCAGGCAATCAAATGTATCCATTAGCTCTAAGGAGACCATTATCAATACTTGCACCTTAAAAAACTAAATTAAAATATAATTATTTAGTCAAAATGTAAAATAATACAGAATGGAAACACATACTAAGATCCAAAGGGAATGGACAAAAATGTCTTCACCTCTGAAAACAAGGGATTCTTGAAATAAAAATGATGATTATGGTATGCTGTCACTCTAGTGTAGTACGCAATATTAAATTCAGTAGATGTGTCTACTTAATTAATTTGTCTCTTATTGCTAATGGGGCAAGAATAAAAACTAGCTAGCCTGTATATAAATAAAACACTCCATATATACTGTATTACTGTGTAACATCCATAGAGTATTTTCATTACTGTGAACCTGCGTTGTCTGTTTTCCTTTGTTTGATCAAATTACTCAGAAGGAAAGCATACAGTAAAACAATGCATTTTCCAGTTGACACATAGCTCAAAGGAAATGAACCTTATTTTTCACAAGCATGGAAACCAGTTTCCCAAAGGGAATAAAAAATGAATTCATGCTAAATGGGTTTACTTTAGGATCAAAATGATTTTAAATATAGAGGAACTAAGTTCTTTGTAGTATGTTACAAAAAAGTTTACTCTGATGTCTAAACAGTACTTTATTCTCTAAAACATATTAACATATCTTGACAGGTTTAGATCCAGATACACATCTAGGAAAAACACTGGATCAAATGGAGCCTTATCTTTTAGAGGTAAGTATTATCTAAAGTATACTCAATATATGCAAGACTTCAAAAGGGAAGTTACTGGGGTAGAAAGTCACTTAATAAAATTATCTTAATTCTAGAAATGTTTAGTTATTTCCAGAAACAAGATGTCAAGCCAAAGTTTATTGTTTAACAGAAAACCTAGGTATCTGATATTCACTTAATACGTGAGTGGAACTCTTGTTAAAACTAGTTCATAAATGACTTTTTATTATATGTTTTGAAAAATAGTATAGAAAAGGAATATACATAAGCGAATGTTAACTTTTTGGTAACACACAAAGATAAAGGTACTGATTATGAAAGGGACTATCAGAATTGAATAAGTAGCAGGATTTTTGGTAAAGGAGACATTTTGGTGTTCGAAGTGGCAAATGTATATTGGGAATGAAACATGAAAAAAGTTGTTTATTTCTGAAGCAGATGTGATCTTTGGATAGTAGCAGAGATTCATTTTAAGTTGATATATGAAGCTGGAGAAGTAGAAAAACTCAAGAAGGAATACATGGTTGTTTCCTTTTTCATAGGTTCAAAGGTCAGTAGCTCTCTTAGGGAAAAGGTTAAAGGACACATTGTAGTTAGAATATAGATGATTATCTGTATTATAATTTTTACTGGTAGGTATCCTCTACTCTAAAAATCCAGACATAAGCCCTCTTTACCCTGACTTTCATTTAGGGCAAGCTCTTTTCTCAGCGTGCTTTCAGTAGCTTGTTTTGGAACTCTGTCTGAAAAAGCAAAATTAAGGAGGAAGTCTTGTCTCTGAACCTACTCTGCAACTTTATGGGTGCTATCTGTGCTAGTCTGTTAGGTAGATAACAAAGCCCCAGTTCTCCCTCAGATAGGAAGATGTATCCAGATGCCCTGTTCCTGTTCCCTGTAGACAGCCATCTCACCGTTCTTTGTACAGTTGAATTCTACCCATTTCTTTTAAGGCTCATGATTGTATCTTTAAGAACCTACATAATTTTTAGTGGGAAGGGATGGACTGTGTAACTTAGAAGGTTATTCAGCTCAGTACTTAATTTCCCCCAAAGTGCATCACTTTTGTATCATGTCTACTACTCTGAGGGATGAAAGATCATTTTTCCAATATTTGATTGTATGTGACATCATCTGGAGTTGTGTGGCTGCAAAATGAAAGGCTGATGGTGCACAGTATACAAAAATGTTAGCCCCAGGTTTAATTTTGAACTTAAACAGATGTTCTAAATGTAGCTAGAGTGTTTGCCAAGAGCATTTTTGGTATTATTTAACTACCTGCTGATTTTAACATAAAAAGGCAACTTGACTCTTAGAAGCTTAAAATATTACACTAATGTTATTAAAGAAACAGTACTGTGCTCAAAACAGGATAAAATTAAATAACTGATAGAGAAAATGGAAGTTGAGGGTTTTAAAGTTCATTTAATACCAGCTATAAAATAGATATGCAATATAAAGTGAGACAAACGTGATTGTAAATTGTTTCTGTTATGTTCTTAGCATTTGGTATCAGAATAAAATTCTAAATGGAAGGTAAACCAATGATCAGTCATTGAACTTGAGAATCTTTGTAATCTTTAAAAGATGACATGTTTGAGAGAATTGGACCTTATTTTTTCTGGCAAATCTCTGTTGCCTTTCCAGTGTGGCTTTGCCTTTTATCTGACAAAAACCAAACAGACAGGTTTTACTTAACATGTGTTTTTAACTGGTGTCATCATTTCATCGTTCTTGTTAATTCATATATTTTTCCTGCTACTACGTTTTTTCTGTAGTCCTACTTCTGGGTTTCTACCATATGCTGTGATTGTACATGCACAAAAATATTTGTTAGGTAGATTAGGAACTCTAATTGGCACTGTGTAATTAAATTTAAGGATTTTTACTGGAAACTGAAATATTTTAAAAGGGTGATGTGTTGGTGTATGTTCATTGTATATAACAATTTTCTTCTGTAGATCTGAGATTTCTGTATAACGATAGATAATCTTGTTATCTTTGTTTCATGGATGGAGGAAACTGAGGTATTACCCAAATAGGCAGTTAATTCAGAACTTAGTTATACTGCCTTCCAGTGTAGTGCTGCATGCCAAATGATAAGGACTTTTTCTGAAATAGAGAGAGGGTGATGAGGAGCTGGCCAAATATAAGCAAGAAGGCATTTCTGTTGCACTGATTCTGTACCAAGGTGCCATGGCACTCTAGGGTGCCTTGAAATCTTTTCAAGCGTGGTTCAGGGTGCCACACAAGGTAAACTCTGTTAAATGTGCAAACAAGAGTCACAAGGTAAACCCAGAGATTTCAAAGAGGAATCCCTAGTGTTAAAAACATTCTGACCTATTGCAGTCTTTCTGAGTTCTCTGCAACAGAAGAATTGCTCAATTATTTTTCTGTATTCAAAAAGCAAGTGAAAACTAAGTGCTGGTAGTTTCTGAGGGGTACCTCAAGTCTAAGAGGGTTGAGAACCACTACACTGTTGAAAGGATGGGGCGGACAGTGAAAAACGGTGCTCTTACCAGTAAAAGAAAAATGATGTTTTTTCATGTCTGCTTCAAGTATAAATACATTAATTAGTTACATAACGCTGAAAGCAAATGCAATCATGTCAGACAACAGGGAAATTCTTCTTTTTGGATAAAGAAAGAACCAGTAGAAATTAGCCCCGTTTTCTTAAACCGCGTGATGACAAATTGCACTATTTGAAGCTTGTACCCCAGTGAGATTAAGATACCGGAAGATATTTTTAGCGGTGAGCTAATTATATTTTCATGTAATATTTGGAACATAACTGGGATGAGCTCTGTTAATAAAATATAAAATGTTTTATTTCTTGGTCATTTCCAGGATTGCTTCTCATAGTAATAGTGACCAAAAGTCATTACCATGTGACGAGATGGACTGGTTCAGATTAAAGTGATTTAAATAACCAGTTTTAATCATGATTCAAATCAGTCAGCTGGAAATATTGATTTAAATAATTAATTTTAATTTTGTTTTGCTTTTGTACTTTTTACTTATTTTTGTAAGGAAACATTGATTCATTGTTGTTAAATTAGAGTACTTACCCTTTACTGACCGGAAGGATAAAGCATATCTAAAAACAGTTATTTGAGTAGTTACATAACTTAACTTCATTCATATTCTAATTTTCTACTTTTTATGATGGTACAAAATATCACTGACCTGACTAGATAATGATGATATTTTTTGCTCATGGTTTTTTGCAAGCTACATTTAGATGGATATTTTAATTTATTTAAATTAACACAAAACATACTTTGAAAATGGTTATTAGTTCAATGAAACTGTCGTAACATAGTGTATAAGAAAACATAAGTTTATCAGTCTTATTTTTCGATACAAAACAACTGAAATATTAAATAAAGTAAGTGTTATTGGTAGATAGTGAATTGAACTGATTTTTCTCTGGTTCCCCTGTCCTTTAAGAATTTAGAACTAGTAAATCCCATCCTGACATCTTATTTTTTCTTTTGATATTAAAGGAAGCATATAAGCTTTTCTGCTTTTACTGATCTCAGTTAGTGTCTTGTGTTCGAATGAACTAAACTGGTTGAATCGACTGAAATGAAAAGGATACTCTCTCCACACCTATGGAAGGAACTGGTGTTGTCAAAGACTTCCAAAAGGCCTCTGAAGTGCTTCGGTAAAGCACATCAGTAAGCTATTTCAGTTGCTTAGCTAGTGATGATTTCTGTTTCATTGGTAGTTTGATTTTCATTAAAACTTGGGCAGCAAATATTTTTTAATTGAATTATTTAGTTTAATTTAATGTATATGAATAGAGTAAGTTTAGGCCTCCAAGTTTAAAGTCATTACACACAGCACCACACACAACATCCCTCAGTTGGTCTGGGACTGTGCCATACATGGCTCCCAGGTACTGGGAGCTGGTGCTGTGTGTGTGTGTCCCAGAATGGGTGGGGGGGATCCCAGAATGGCTAGAATGGGCATTGTGTACACTGCACATCCTGGGCCCTGCCCATGAGACCAGGTGGGTATGTGTGGGCCAACTCAGACCCAGGACTATCACTGGAAGCCAGATGATGGGGCTGTATGGGCCAAATTTGGCCTTCAGACCAGATCTTTGACACCCATAAATGGATTTGTAGAAAGCAGGCCTTGCGATGAAGTAGGCTGTTGCCTGTGAGAGCCTCTCTGAACCAATTAGTCTTTAAGGTGCTATCCTGCCCTGCCTTCCGCTGGACTTCAGATCAGCACTGCTCTTAACCTTTCTCTATGTTTTTATGTATGTAATACTTCTGCCAGATGGAGTGTAAGGTATGCTCATTTTACAGGTAAGGGATCTGAGACATTGTGTCCACATACCTGTACTTTTTGGTGTCAGCTAGGTTGTCCCAACCACAGACTGAATCAGTGTAGCTGAGTACATAGACTTAATATATGTGGGCTGAAGTCCCCACTTTTCTTTCCTATTCATCTTCTTGAAATTCAGATTCAACCCACAAAATACCTGACATCACAAGTTTCCCAGGAGAAAAACAAGACATAACAGCTTTATAGTGCTGCCACTGGGTCATTTTTCAGGAGCCATACTTTACACCTGTCTCTGTGATGTTCTGTAACCAGGTTGAATTGTTACATAAAAAATATATATATTATTTTTTCTGCACCTCTTCTTCATACTGGAAGTACCACTATGCAGCTATTCCCTTACTTTACAAATTAAAGTTCTTCTTTTAAAACAGAAGTGTCAGCGTTTTCAGCACTTTTTTCTGAACTTTTGACTGAAATGAGCTTCCTGAGAAACCAAAGCGTTAACCATTTTTGAGGCCTTTTTTCTTTGAGAAGCTTTCCTGTTGTAACCAGACTGATGGGAGGGGAGTGAAAGAAGAAAAGAGACATTGGATGCTAGAGAGAAACTGTGGTTTTCTATCCCTAGGAGAACTTCTGTTCAAGGGAAGGGCAAGAAAACAAGACACTATGGAATTCATCAGACACTTCTGTGCGTTTTTCTAATT